GATATGTAATATATAGTTTAATTTAATTAAACTTTGTATTGCATTTGTAATATAAACTTGTAAATAAATAAAATACAAATACTTACTACAAAAAATTTATAACTAACAATTAATGGTGAAATAAATTTATATATACATAGGCGTGGGCTATTCCATAAAAACATGACAGGACAGGCTAGTAAGAAACCATCTCAAATTTTATTCATACCTTGTCAAAATGGTCACATTCATTGGAATGCTTTATGAAATTTTAGCTTTATTATCAAATTGATTTTTAAGATATGGTTACTTCAAGTTCATTTATTTTAAAGGATTGTTTAGTGTTGTTTTTGTTTTACCAATTGTTGTACCACCATACAAATGACCATGCTAAATATTTGCACCTGTATGGTATTTATCTTCCTTAAAAGTATTTTCCTATATCTATTATCTTAATTAACATCTGTTTTATACAAATAATATTTAAAGCATAGTAAGTGTGAGAGTCTTATTTTTAAAAGAGAGTCTTTTTTTAAGGTATTGTTATGTTCTTCATTGAGTTGTTAAAGAAATGTTTTATAATTGGAATTATTTATTATAACAAAATGTATTAGAGGTTGCTCAATAAAAAGTTTAGAGGTTGCTCAATAAAAAGCCTTTTTATTATAGTAGTTATATGAATATTTTTTGAGACAAACAGTGGCTGTGATGTTTAGTGGATGGTTGTCTACCTGTCGCTCTGTTCCAAAAAAAAAAATTTGGATTCTTCTGTCCACAATACATTTTACCAGTCTGTTCCTGTCTGTCTAATTTTTATGAGCTGGAGCCATTGAAGTCAATGGGTCTAGGTCATAAAAAGTATTCTAAACTTTCTCAAACTTAATCGCGATTAAGTATGTTTCAGAAAGTTTATAGTATACAAATAAAAAAATATAAGTTGTATTATTCATTTCAAAAATACATTTGTACATTTTATTCGAATTAGTTTATGACTTTAGAAACAATTTTAAAATTTAATATCAATTATTATAAGTAAAAAATGGTTAACATTTAAACTGACCAGAAACATTTGCCAAGCAGTGTATATATATAGAAAAAGAACAACAACACTATATAACACTATATTAAAATAAAATTAAAAAAATCAGAAATAAGTGATAGCATAAATTTGCTATTTTTATAACTAAATTTTTATTATTATTTTTAAAGGTTGCAAATTGCCCACGTGAAGAGAATTTTAGTAATGATTATAAGGTCAGTTTTTGTACAATTTTATTGGTCCACAATTTTTTTATTACTTAACTTCAGTTTTTATTTAATTTTATTGGTCTACAATTTTTTTTAATATTTAACTTTTTTGTTTTTATGTAATTTAATTGGTGGTCCACAATTCTTTTATACTTAAAGTCAGTTTTTGATCAATGTTTATGTTTTGATAAACTATATTATGCTAGGTATATTTGGAACAATTGTTTTATATTATTTTATTTTGACATAGTTGTAAGAGTTATTTACTTTGTTTTAAGTGGGATATACTTGGTAGAAAGATAAAACTACTGGCTCAATCTAAACTTACTCGTTTATTGACTTCTGATAAATGGAATAGCTTAGATAACTTTCTTCACATTTATAAAGGCACATTTGATATACCTCACGTATGTTTTAAAATTTTTTAAAAATTTTTTAAACGTTGTTATACAAATTGAACTTATTGAGTTTTTAACGTGATTTTTTTCTATATTTTATATTGAAGGGTTATTATAATTGGGATTCTGATGTCAAATTTGGTGAGCAGCGTTTGCGTGGCTGTAACCCAACGTTAATTCAACTGTGCACTAAAGTACCTGAAAAGTAACGTTATTTTTGTTACACTTTTTTAACTAATTATTTTTTATTATTTTAAAAAGTTAATATTAAATAATGCATTATATATATATATATATATATATATATATATATATATATATATATATATATATATATATATATATATATATATATATATATATATATATATATATATATATATATATATATATATATATATATATATATAAAATATTATTTTAATATTTTTGTTTGGTTTTCAACTTTCAGTATAATTTTTTTTTTTTTTTAGTTTTGCTGTATCAAATGAAATGGTTGGTCCATTTTTGGATGGTTTAACTCTCGACATTGCCATTGAAAAAAAAGAGATATTTTGGGTTAATCTTGGTTTCTTAGATAACTTGTGTTGTAAAGATGCTAGAAAAGTATGCTTATACGTATTAATATCTATCCACATATTATCATAATATCCACAAAAATATTCAATATGTTACTTAATTTAAAAGTACTCAGAAATTTGTTGTCAAAACTAACACTAAATAACATGTTTTTCTCCCTTTATTTAGTTAATATAGCTTTTTATTTAAATGATATAATAATTATTTAATTAGATAAATATAATAAACCTTGGACTAAAATTATTTATCTAATTAAATAAATAAATATTATATATTTTAAATAAATAGCTATAGCATTTAAATAAAGGGATAAAAACATGTTATTTAGTGTTGGTTTTGACAACAAATTTCTAAGTATTTTTAAATTAAGTAATATATTGAATATTTTTGTGGATAGTTTTGATTGACACAACAGAAGATATTTTTGCTGGAAAAAACTTTTGCTGAAGAAATTTTAATGAAATTTAATTTTATGGTTTTGGATTCAAATTATGACAATAAATTAAACTAAAATCAGTTTATGGTTGAATTAAAAAAAGATGTTAAAAAAAGATAGTGAATTTTTTAAAAATGTTTTAATTGCAAAAGCAAATAAACATTAAAATTTTTTGCATGATTCCATTGATAATTAGTTTAATAAAAATTTGCCAATAGAATCATACAAAAATTTATCGATACAGTAATTCTACTAGTTGTTATTTTGATTCCAACTAGTAGAATTGCCGCAATAAAAAATTAATGAAAATAAAAGACTTATTAAAGAGTTCTTGATTAGCTCTATTCTTTGCAGAACAAGCCCTACTCTTTAGAGGCCATTTATGAGTACACTAGTATAGGGAAAGTTCTGCTAATTTGTAAAACTTTGTAAACTACATTTCAAATCTGATTCGACTTATGCAAAACAGATGTCAAATTTGAAACATTACCTATGCAAATTTATTATTTGTCTGTTGAAATTGTTTTCATACTGATTTAATTGATGCTTTGTCTGCAAAAGTTTATTTTAAATTTAGTTAAACTTTCTCTAATTGTTAAAGCAAAGTTTTGTAAATTATTTGGCGTTATATAAATTGATTGAGCGTTTTCTAAATTGAAACTAGAATATTGTGCAGAAACATGTATCAGAATCTTTTTCTGTGAGTAATTTCGACAAAAAAAGTTAAATTTTATTGTTAAGCCAATCAAAATAAATTTTTATACTTGTATAATATAAGTAAAACCAAAAAGTCAAAAATTGAAGTTCGGATTGGCCAAGCAGATTTGTTTCAACCAGTATGTAGTACACTGTGCAATATAAAGTTGATGAAGGTTGATAAAATTTATTATACAATGTAAAATTTAATAAATATAAAATGTCATGGTTAATATAATACAAAAACTCTTTATAACATATTGGGGAGTATATTTTTGTTGTTGACTGCATAGATCTACAAAATAAAATTTTGTTGTAAGACTTTCTTTATATTTTTGTTATGCCTAGATTCTAGACCCAAATAGTTACACTGCTTAAAGTGTTTAAGGTATTAAGAAGCATTAAAATGAAAAACAAATGGTTTGTTTATTACTTCTTTTGAAATATAAACATGGTTTCTCCTTTTCAAATATAATTAAAAATTTATTCAATATACATTAGCACATTATATTTTGCTTGATATGGTAATATATCATGTTATTTTGATTTTGTTTATATATCATGTTGATTTGATATGTTGGTATATCATGTTATTTTAATATGTTTATATATCATGTTAATTTAATATATTTATATTATCCGAATGTTGTATTGTTTTAAGATTTGTTCACCAATGGCACTTTTTCATGCTAAAAAAAATGGAGACTTGGTTCCAATTGCAATTCAACTGTTTCAGGAGCCTTCTTCTATCAATCCAGTAAGTTTGTACGTTTTTTATTTGTCTTCTCAGAAAGAGAACTAATTATAAGAGCTATATTTAAAATCACAAAAATCAAGAGTATAACAAAAAAAAAAATTTTCAACTTTTTTTAATTTTAAATAGATTAGTATTACATATTAATTTATAAAGAATAATGCAAAATAAGGTTACATATAAGCAGAATAATTGATTATCTTCTTGCTTATCTCTTATTTATTATTGTTTTATATTTATACTGATTAGATATTTACATTCTATTATTTTTCAAGCAAAGTTAAATGTAATACATTTTAATTATAAATATAAAATAATAATAATGAACGAGACACATAATACATTGTATCATGTGTCTTGTTCAACCCCATGGAAAAATACCCATGAGATTCTCATTCTAAGTGGCTTTATTAGCATTTTTTAAATAAATTTTAGATTGCTTTTTAGAAATGCGAACTGCTATAAAATAAAATATAACAGGTTCAAAAACCAATGATGTAAACATAGACATAGATATTTAAAATTGGGAATGTAATAATACAATAGTTTTCACTACATCTTAAAATGATAAACATATATAATAATGAATATTAATAACAAAAGTCCTTGTAGGATTTGCTTTTTTATGCAAATGCTAGAAGAAGTTAACACCTACTGAAAATACCCTGCCTCTGAGGCTCTTGATTGAAATAAGGTTAAAAATGGTGTCTATAAAATTACTCATCTTCGGCATGTGCTAATTACACCCAGTAGTTTGCTGAGAGGCTAATTCCATAAATAGGTGTAAAATATCAAAGTATCAACCATTCCATATTGCTTATGGGTGGTATCCCTGTTAGTACTTTTAATGTAACTTTGATATTTACAATAATAAATGACTTGGCTCTAATACCACTGACCCTGCACTGAAACTTACAACTTTTATCATTCTTGATCTTTTACTGACATAGTTAACTCGGTAACTTACATTTACTCTGACCTTTGTTTATGTCAGTTTCTCCTTGTTTCAATTTGCATGGTTCTATGCTAAAATTGATGCATAAAACTTTAAAATATTTATACGGATATTTATAAGTATGAAATTAGAAATAGATTTATAGGCAATTTATTTGTTTTATTGTAAAATGCTTGTGTTCTGTTTGAACTTCTAGGGGTTCCAGTCTTGACTGTATTATTTCTCAACTATGTTAATGATCTTTTGACAAAACATCTTTTTACTCCAGTTTATGTGATCACAAAATTCACTTTTATGAATACTTAGACAACCAATCTTAAATCTGATCCCTCTTCTGTGACAATTTGGAGCTTACAGTGGCTGGTGAATTTTAACCCAAATAAAAATTGCAATAATTTTTTGCAGTAAAGTTTTATTTACTGCAAAAAATTATCACGATATTGTTGATATTCCTATTACTTTTTTTTCCACTTTATGACTTGTTCACAACTGACCTCTCATGAAAATCACATATACAATCCATTGGTAAGTTATTACTGTGTTTTCCACTTTATGTCTTTATGAATTACTGTTCACAACTGACCTCTCATGAAAATCACATATACAATCCATTGGTAAGTTATTACTGTGTTTTCCACTTTATGTCTTTATGAATTACTGTTCACAACTGACCTCTCATGAAAATCGCATATACAATCCATTGGTAAGTTATTACTGTGTTTTCCACTTTATGTCTTTATGAATTACTGTTCACAACTGACCTCTCATGAAAATCGCATATACAATCCATTGGTAAGTTATTACTGTGTTTTCCACTTTATGTCTTTATGAATTACTGTTCACAACTGACCTCTCATGAAAATCGCATATACAATCCATTGGTAAGTTATTACTGTGTTTTCCACTTTATGTCTTTATGAATTACTGTTCACAACTGACCTCTCATGAAAATCACATATACAATCCATTGGTAAGTTATTACTGTGTTTTCCACTTTATGTCTTTATGAATTACTGTTCACAACTGACCTCTCATGAAAATCGCATATACAATCCATTGGTAAGTTATTACTGTGTTTTCCACTTTATGTCTTTATGAATTACTGTTCACAACTGACCTCTCATGAAAATCGCATATACAATCCATTGGTAAGTTATTACTGTGTTTTCCACTTTATGTCTTTATGAATTACTGTTCACAACTGACCTCTCATGAAAATCACATATACAATCCATTGGTAAGTTATTACTGTGTTTTCCACTTTATGTCTTTATGAATTACTGTTCACAACTGACCTCTCATGAAAATCGCATATACAATCCATTGGTAAGTTATTACTGTGTTTTCCACTTTATGTCTTTATGAATTACTGTTCACAACTGACCTCTCATGAAAATCGCATATACAATCCATTGGTAAGTTATTACTGTGTTTTCCACTTTATGTCTTTATGAATTACTGTTCACAACTGACCTCTCATGAAAATCGCATATACAATCCATTGGTAAGTTAGCATCTGCTAAAGTTGCTTATTTTTATCAGACTTGCCATTTTCTTGTTCCTGGTTTCATTCTTTACCTATGCAAATTTATTATTTGTCTGTTGAAATTGTTTTCATACTTAGGCTGATTCTTTAAATGATGCTTTGTCTGCAAAAGCATATTTTAAATTTAGTTGAACTTTCTCTAGTTGTCAAGTTTGCATCTTTTCAAACTTAACAGCTACTTATACAAGCTATTATCTTATAATTCATCAACCAAAACTTGCATGACTTGTCACTCAGCAAAGTTGCACCTTTTTAGCGTATATTTCCCTTTATACTCTAAAAACTTTTATTTATCAATTTTTTTTTCCTCAATTTCTTTAGAATTCTCTCTCATCTTCATGTTTTTCTTCAACTTTTCAATTTACAGTTTTTTTAATCTTTTTTCAACCATTTTCTTTCTCTTTAAATATGTTCTTTGTTTTTTGGTAACTCTGAACTCAAATAGTGGTTGCTTTAAGCCTTTTTAGGAGTAAATTGGTTAAAAAAATGATTTTTAATTTAATATAAGTTTTTTTGTTGTTTAGGTATTTCTTCCAAGTGATCCACCCTATACATGGATGTTGGCTAAAATGTATTTCAATAACGCTGATTGTGCTGTACATCAATCTTGTACACATCTTGGTATGTACGTCAGGCCTGTACACATCTTGGTATCTTCTGCTATTAAAAATGTTTATTTTATAAACTGTTATACTGTTTTCTTTTTAATCATTTATTAGTATTCTTAAATGTTGTTATATTTTTATTGCGTATATATTTTTGAACTTTATAAAAAGTTTTTATAATAAAATTTTTGCAAAAACTGAATAATATAATTTTTTTATTTTGTGTACTTTTTTTTTAACGTTCTCTAATAATATCCTAATAATAATATATTTTTATCATTATATTAATTTTTATTTTTCAATATTATCTAAGAAATAGAAATTAAGAATAAATTTATTTTCATATTTTATTTTCTCTGTTTTCTAATCGATTGTAGGTTTTAAAAACTTTTATCTTTGAAACTTTCTTTTTCCACAAACTGCATCTCTTTTGTTCCCAAAGTCTAACATTTTTCAGAATAACTTCTGCTCATCTTATTGAGCCCGTGTACAACTTGTTTTGTACAATATAAAAATAATTATAAAAATATTTTATGTATGTATATATATGTATGTATATATATATACATATATATTTATATATATATATATATATATATATATATATATATATATATATATATATATATATATATATATATATAATATATACATATATATATATATATACATATATATATATATATATATATATATATATATATATATATATATATATATATATATATATACATATATATATATATATATATATATATATATATATATATATATATATATATATATATATATATATATATATATATATATATATATATATATATATATATATATATATATATATATATATATACACATATATTACATAGGGGAGAGCGGGGTTTTTATGACATTGAGTGAAATATTTTTTGCTGTAAAATCATTTATCAAAGACCACTTCTGTTTTTACAACCAACTCCACCCATGGGGTTGGATGTCACATACAATAGGGCTGGTTGTCACATTTCTTGGTACGTTTTGATTAAATTTAAAACTAGTACCAATAAAATTTGTTTATATAATACAATTTTTTTTTTAATATAACACTATAAATACATTTAGTTTAGGACTATTTAATTGTTTTTGTCAAAAAAGGTGTTTTTATAAATTGTTGGGTGAAGAACACAGTTTACATATAAATTGGTGTAATCCTGGTGTGTATTCTTCATGAGTCCATTTTTGGCAAGTCCACTGTTCTCTTGATCTGCTGTTACCAAATGATTCACAACAATAGATACATTGATACTCTCCATCTTTAGATGAATTTAAGGCTATTGAAGTTTTTTTTGGGGCAAAATTTGACTTTATCAATTTTTTTTTACTTTCATTAATAAATGATTTATGATTCTTATAACATTTGCTTTTTTAATTTTTTTTTAATTTTTATAATTAGCAAGCCATGCTTTGACAGGCGAGTAAGTAAGAATCATAGATGAACGCTTTTCCCTACCTCTTTTTGACGCTAACCTTGGATCTGCTTTAGGCAGAGGCCTTATACTTTCAGGCAGTAAAATTGAATTTTTTAAAACTAAACTTTTAAAACTCGAGGCAATTGAAACCATCCCTACATATTATGTGACATGCAACCCCTTCTATGTAAGTTGCAAGACACCTGTAAATTTACCTAAAAATGTGTAAGTTTCATGAGAATTTTTTGTGGATTAAGTTACTCAAATTATTAAAAAACTTAAAAAATGTACATTCAAAGCACAATGAAATAATTTTTGTTTAATAAAAGAAAACTAAGTGAGCGAAATTTAACTTTTTCATATCAAAAACCTATAAAACGAATAACTTTTTTTCTACACGCTAAAAAAAGCTGAAAATTAAAGTGAAAATGTTTTTTTTATATAACATTTCCATTGTATGATTTTAAAGTTCTACATTTTTTCTACATTTCCTGTTGTAAAGGTTGTGACAACCAACCTCGTTTGACAACCTAATGCGGTAGTGGTGTAGTGGTAGAGCGCTCGCTTCATAAACGAGTGGTTCCGAGTTAGATCCCCACCACGTCCCTGGTAGTACTGCGCTCAACTCGTTTCTCTGCGCAGCGGCGTGGTTATAACCACAAATAAGTAGCCTCCTCGTCTGTAGTGACCTTCTCGGTCTTGAGGTGGTGAATTAAAATAAAAAAAAAAACCAACCCCGTTCTCCCCTATATATATATATATATATATATATATATATATATATATATATATATATATATATATATATATGTATATATACTTACTAAAGCGTGTTTTGATAAGCATTTGCTCAATTTTTCTGCTTACCTTAAGCCATACTGTTTTTTTCGAAAAAGAAGAAGAAGAAACAAAGAATGATGAATAAAACGATTGCTTCCCCATCCCAAACTGATCGAAAAATATATATATATATATTTTTCGATCAAACTTATTTCTACCATGCTCCTTAAATTAATCCAGAAAGATTTGTATGAGGAATTATTCTACAATGATCTTAGCAATGTCACCATTCTTTCATGTATAATATGTTTCTCCTTAACATTTGCAATGGCTCTGCTTTATACCTGCATAGAAAATGCAAGCAAAAGATAAAAAGATTTTACTATTTCACTATTTTATACTGAATTATCTGCTGCCTCTATTGCATGCATGGTGTCCTAAACATTCTGAAAAGTCTGCATCAAATATCGGTAGCTATTGAACATAGTGAATATGCATTTTCTCTTAACTACATGTATAGTAAAAGATATTGATAACTCATTTAGGCAATATAATGTAATAATTCTAATCTAGTTAGTTAAAGATCTGTTTGATTAGCAACTGCTCTATTTTGTCAAATTAGAATTTAATCTTACAGGTTTATAGTCAATTTTTAGGTAGATTCTTCAGTTTCTTTGATATGTGAGTATAATTGTACCATAAAAAAACCATATACCATATATATATATATATATATATATATATATATATATATATATATATATATATATATATATATATATATATATATATATATATATATATATATATATATATATATATATATATATATATATATATATAAATATATATATATATAAATATATATGTATAAATATATATATATACATATATATATATATATATATATATATATATATATATATATATATATATATATATATATATATATATATATATATATATATATATATATATATAAATGTATAAATATATAAAGGTGAAGTGGGGGTATAACCGCATATGGAGGCACAACAGTTTTTAAACATTTCCCTTTGAAAAATGTTATCTAATATGGCAAAAAATATACTACGCGTTTGTAAAACAATTTCTTTCATAGTTTTATTATATATATATATATATATGTATACATATATATATAATTAAATATATATATATATATATATATATATATCAACCTTCGGAATTAGGGTCGGCATTCGGCAATGGCGACCTAACTGCCGACCTAAACGTGTTTGCGGTTGGCAAAAAAGATTTGGTTTTGCTGACCTTGTTTCAATGATTTATGGTAAGACTTTTGTATTTGCTGACCTGATGCTGACCTCTTAAAGATTGAGGTCGGCAAATTATTGCTGACCTCAATTTTTCTAATTCCAAGGATTGTATATATATATATATATATATATATATATATATATATATATATATATATATATATATATATATATATATATATATATATATATATATATATATATATATATATACAACCAGATCAGGGATTATCTTTTTCCTGATATTTCCAGAATTCCAGATATTTTTCTCAACTTCCAGATATTTTCTCAAATTCCAGATATTTTTCTCAGCAGTTTTTCTGGGTATCAAAAATGTTTTCCATATATACAAGTTTAGGAATATATTTTTGTAATATATTTGTTTTCTAAGCTTTTTCACTCATTACTCAAAAAAAGTTAATAAAAAATTAAAAACAACTCAGCTAAAAGCAAAATTGAGAGGAATATAAGGAATATAATATAAAATATATTCCGGATATTTTACCCTAATAATTTTCCAGATTTTTAAAATATGACCTGGATGATCTATGTATATATATATATATATATATATATATATATATATATATATATATATATATATATATATATATATATATATATATATATATATATATATATATATATATATATATATATATATATATATATACACCCCTAAACTATGATGGACTATGAAAAACTGATTTCTTATTAGAGACAAAATAATCAGGTATTTTCATTATGTTACTTTCCATCCATTCCTCCACTTTAAGTTTTAAACAAATATGTAACTTACATTCTACTACATTTTCCAATCTTAATATAAAAATAATGGAGTTAAATTTTATTTAACATAGTTTGTATTTTTATCATTTTCTAACTTCTAAAAATCTTGCAGTTCAGTTCTGTTTTTTTTCTGATTTATTGTTCTTCAATAAATCAGAAAAAAATGTTTTTATTTTTTCAGAAAATTATATATTATATACTATAAAATTATATATTATATCCTATAAAATTATATATTATATACTATATAATTACATATTATATACTATAAAGTTTTTGTACATTGTTTAGGGTTTACTCATTTGGTTTGTGAGTCTGCGTGTGTCACTGTCCATCAATCTCTTTCCCCTTCACATCCTGTCTATCGCTTGTTAGCTCCTCATTTTTTATACTTAATTGCTATTAATAGGTATCTTTATTTTATAGTTTACTTAGTTATCTTATTTATAGTGTATTAGTTTACAAGTTCACTAATTTATACTGTATTAATTAAATAATTATCTAATTTATACTGTATTAATTATCTAATTATCTAATTTACAATGTTAATTCACAAATTCACTCATTTATACTGTTCATTTTTACTGTATTATTTTATAATACTAACTTATACTACTAGTTTATAATAGTAAAAAAGTATTACTTTAGTAATAATAAAAACTAAAAAAGTATATGCAATAGTGAACAAAGAATCAGTATATATTAATTTATAATAAAAATTTGATAACTCAGAAAAACTTTTTTTACATTTCCATAATTTTTTTAGTGAATTTAAGTGCACAATTTTTAAAATGTTTAATTGAGAAAAAATCATACACAGGGCTGCCGAGAGAAAGAAGCAAAAAGGTAATGTCTCGGGCGCTAAGATATTAAGGGTGCCAGAAGAAGTAAAACAAAAAAAATCATTATGAGATTTTTGTAGCAAAAAAGTAAAACTTTGTTTTTATTGATAAGGCATAAAAACAATTATTTGGTGATATGCGCCAATAACTACTTATTAAAATTAAAGCAAGATTGATAAAAGTTAAATTTTGAAAAGTTTTAATTTCAAAATAATTATTTTAGTTTTAAAAAAACATCTTCTATTTGAAAAATAACTTGACTTCTTCATAAAATAACAACTCTTGAATTATAAGGTGCTTTACTAATATTAGGAATTTTCTGAAATTTAACAAGTGGGAAATGTCTTTTTTCATCATAGAGTTTGAACATAATTATCAGATGATGCAATAATTTCATATCATATGCCCAGCCTGACTTATAGACAATCACTTCTGTTCCATTCGCAAATTTTGCTTGTAGTTCCTCATAACTGTTCATTAACTGAGATAACTGTTTATTAACTGAGATAACTGTTCATTAACTGAGATAACTGTTTATTAACTGAGATACAAAAGTAAAATAGTTAGGAGATTTTTTGAATAAAAAAAAGATACTCAATATAAAAAAAATGCAAAGATAACATCTATGTAATAGTGTACATCTATGCAATAGTGGAAAAAGAAGTACATCTATGTGGTGAGCGCTCAAGAGTACATCTATGCAATAAAGCGCTAAGCGTACATTTATGCAATAGAACGGTAAAGAGTACATCTATGCAATAGTGGGTCAGTGGTAAACTCTCACTTAATAAGTAAAAAAAAGTAAGGTATGGAGTTCAAACTTTGTCACATCCCTTATTTTACTATGCCACCCTTGTTTCCTCTATGCATAAACCTTTGTTATAAAGGTTTGTTTTTTTGAGTCATAGGATTAAAAAAGAATTGTAGAAACAAAACAAAAATTAACCATTTTTCTTGAATGTAGTCGAACCCTCCATGAAAAATGTGCCACTACATTCAGCAAGTGAACTTACCTGTGTTTATTTGTTACATGAAAGTCTTAAGGAGGTGTACTTGTGAAAAAAGAATAAGAATACTGCTGAGGGAGCGAATGCAGACCCCTTTGAAAATATAGTCAAGACAGTTACTTTTTGTTTTATCTCTTCGTCGATATCACAATATCACCTGTGTTTGAAGCATAAACTATGGTTAATTTTCTGTATGGAGAAACAAGTTGAGTGAAGTTTGACATTGAAATCTCTCAGATATTTTAGCACTGTGTAAGTAGAGGGTAAGAATTGAAATCTCTCAGATATTTTAGCACTGTGTAAGTAGACTGGGTAAGAATTTAAGATCTGTTGAATAATAAATCTAACATAAAGTATTTATATAATAAAAGTATAAAAAAATTATCATGCATATTGTAAATAATATTTTACAACTTCATTTTTAGTTTAGCTGTAGAAAAGCTTCTTGCACCAGATGGTTGGATTGACATAACAATGACAATGGGTGTATGTGGACTTATGGAAATACTAAAAAGAAAGTAGGAAAACAGATATATTTTTATATGTATAAGTTTTATTCATTTTTGAAGTACCAGTTGAGAAATCTTCTAGATACAAGTGGAAAAAAATCACACTGCAGTATAAAAAATCACGTAGGATCAAAAAAATTTAGTTTTTGTTTATTTTTTATTATTCTTTCCATAATATTGATTAAATTTATTTTTAGATGGAATAACTGGAGACTTGATCGTGATGGTTGGCTGCCTAATGATATAAAAAATAGAGGAGTAAGTAAATATTTAAACGTTTGTAAAACTATTTTCATTTGTAAAAAAAAAAACATTTTTTTTGTACTGAAAAAGTAAAAAGTGTTTAGCATTTCATTTAAAATAGGTTGGCGATACTACTATTTTGAAAAACTATATGTACCGTGATGATGGTCTTCTTATTCATGAGGTGATTTTAAAATATGTTACAGAAGTCCTTACTGCTGTATATGGTTAGTCTTATTTATTTTTTAACTTTTTTTCAAGAAACCATAAAGAACTTTTTGTTTAAGTGTGTTCTCTTTTCTTTTTTTAGATACTCCTGAAAAGTTGAAAGAAGATTACGAAATTCAAAACTGGGCTTTTTGCTTGACTGATGAAGCTAATGGTGCTGGCATAAAGGTTTTGTTTATTTTATTCAGTTTTTTTTATTTTATATCAAAAAAACTTAATAAATAAACATTAAATTTTCATTTACAAGTTATTTATAAACAAAATTATTTAAATACAATAATGTATAGGGTGTTTTTGGTAATGGAAAATTTGAAGAGCTGGAAGACCTTATTAAAACTGTATCATCAATTATTTTTCTTGGAAGCGTTGGTCATGCATCTGCCAACTTTTGTCAGTATGATGAATATGCTTTTCCTCCTAATTATCCAGCAATAATGAATGGAGAAGTTCCTACTTCAAAGGTTATAATATTACTTTGCTAATTTTACTTATTATGTATAATGTTAATATAAAAAGGTAAGTTAATAAAAATATGAAAAAGAAATTAAAATTAAGTAAATTTTTATACTACTACTATTCGTTTTATATAACTTCCGTTTTCATAAATTCACTAGATTTTGTCAGTTCTGCATTATATAACTACTTATCCGTTTTTATAAAAAGTTAGTTTTGATTGTTAGTTTTGATAAAAAGTTGTAAGTAGAAGTACTTAGCAGTAGCAGCAGTAGTAGTAGCAGCAGCAGCAGTAGCAGCAACAGTAGTAGTAATAGTAGTAGTAGTAGTAGTAGTAGTAGTAGTAGTAGTAGTAGTAGTAGTAGTAGTAGTAGTAGTAGTAGTAGTAGTAGTAGTAGTAGTAGTAGTAGTAGTAGTAGTAGTAGTAGTAGTAGTAGTAGTAGTGCTTTGCTCAAAAGTTAATTGATAACCATAAAATATATAAGTTAGTCCGTTTATTATCCGTTTTGATAAATTCACTAGATTTTTTCAGTTCTGCATTATATATATTTGCTCTGCTCTGCTCTGCATTTTTGTTTTTTATGATTAGAATAAAAAAATGAATGAATTTGATATATAAAAAATAAACAAAGTAAAAGTATAACAAATAAAGTTAAACTAATACAAAAACAAAAATATGACAGGCCAATCAATACTTACAAAAATAAAAATATGTACTTCTAAAAAAAAAATGAACAAAGTTATATAACAAACATTATTCACTAAATAAAGACTTATAAAATAGATAATTGACTGCAAAATAAAAAAATAAATGTTACACATTTATTATTTATGTGCTGATACACATTTGTACATTTATGCATTTGATAAAATTTTAAATTTTTAAAAATCAACTTTGTATTTTTTTTTTTTTTTTTTTTTTTTAACATCTTCACTTCCAACAAGGCTGCAAGCAACCACTATAAGAGTTGGAAGTTACTGGAAGAGAAAAGACTAAATCTGTAGAGCAAGATGACGATTGACTGATGACTTAAAAGATTGCAAATTATATGAATCAGGAAAGCAAGATGAAGGAAGCGAATTCCAAAGAACTGATGTTCGAGGAAAAAAACTAGAAGAATAAGAGTTTTTGAAGCACTTAGGAACAGTCACAGAAAAAGGATGAGACTTAATTGAATGGCGAGTAACACGAGAATGAATTTTAGTAGATGGTAGATGGCACAAGGGACGCTAGCTCTTTAGAGCAGTGCCCATTATAGTATTAGTAAAAAATCAACTTTGTATTGTATTCTACTTTGTTTTTGTTCTTCATAATTCAAAAAATCAGTTGTTTTTTGAATTAGTATACATTGTATACATTGAATGAAGAATGAATAAAAAACTGACATCTAGTAATATTTAATTAAAATATTTAAATATTAAACAATGAAAAAAAATTTCCCTTATACAAGTTTAACTTTAAATCAGCAATTAAATTGATTTTTTTAAGTTTAATTTTATATAAGTAGCTACAAATTTATTGGTTTAGTGAAGATTTTTATGGTAGTATTTTTATTTTTACATTTTGTTTCATGCATTCTTTTTTATATTTTGGATTTACACAATTAAAATTAAAAAAATATTTTATGTTAAAATATCTAATATATAGAATGGTTTAATATATTTATTTTATGTCTTAGTAATAGTATACACTAGAACATAAGTTAAAATAAAATGACTTTTATTATTTTTTAATTTTAGGCTCCATACACTTTAGAGGATGTTATTGCCCAGCTTCCAGATAAGCAAACAACTTTAAATATAATGGTAGTTACAAAAATACTTAGCGATAGAGGTACCAATCCACTTGGTGATTTTGAAGTTCAGTATCAGTATAATCCAGATGCAATTGCAGCTGTTCAAAGGTTTTTATTTAAAGATTATGCTATATATTGTTACTAAAAATGTAGGTAAATATATTGTTACTATTGATATATGCAGATATATTTTTACTAAAGATATAAGTAGATATATTGTTACTAAAGATATAGGTAGATATATTGTTGCTAATAATATAGGTAGATATATTGTTACTAAAAAAGATTCTCAATCATTTAATTTAAAGTACAGTATAATTTTTAACAATTTTTACTTTAAAAAGATTGTGTTAATGTTGTGAAAATGTTGGCAAAAAAGAAGGGTTTGGGTTTTTTGTTCCTTTTTTTTTTCTTTTTTTTTTTCATGTTCATTTGTTGTTATACAATTGTGCATTTTTTTCTGACAAGATATACTAAAAAAAAAATCATCTTTCTTTCTGTAGAGTAATATGATAAAATTTATACAAGATTATTTTAGCTTTAGTAGTCAAATAACTATTTTGATAGTTTTAGCTTCTCAACAAATGTAAAATAATGCCAATCACAATTATGCACATCAAGTCTTACCAATCTAATAAGAAAACACAGTTGAACAATGACGTTTTTAATGCTTTTTAAAAATTGGCCTTCTTAAACTAGAATGCTCAAAGTTTACTGAGTGCAAGAATTTTGTAGAAGTCATGCAAAAGGACTTTGTGCCAGCTGAAAGAGCATTATCAGTCATAGTCAGCAAGAATGGATAACCTTAAAAAACGGAAAGAGTCATAGTCAACAAGAAAGGATAACCTTAAGAAATGGAAAGAGTCATAGTTAACAAGAAAGGATAACCTTAAGAAATGGAAAGAGTCATAGTTAACAAGAAAGGATAACCTTAAGAAATGGAAAGAGTCATAGTCAACAAGAAAGGATAATTTAAGAAATGGTCTAAGCTATAATAATAGCCAACATTAAGAAATGCTTTGTCTAAGCCTTTACTTCTTCCAGGTAGCATTTTATTTAGAGAAATAGAGTTTTAGTTTCATTTTTAAAGGTAATGTATTGTTTAAAAAAACATTTTTTTTCATGATTCATCATCAAGAGCCCAGTTTCTTTTCAATGAAGGACTAAAAACAAAAACTAAAGACTTTGTTCATGTTTGGCACAACATGTGGCTGTTCAGTTTTGGTGTCAAAAACCTGGTATCAATTCTTAATCAAGTTGTTTTAAGTTGAGAAAAATTTCCACTAAGATATAAGACAATTTAATTAATGTTTTGGTTTAAAAAGATTGCCTACTAATCATGACGTCACTAAATCTATTTTTACTAGAAGACTAATGATTGCTGATTGCAATTTCTTAACACCTCATACAAAGCTATAGCAACTCAAGCAAGTTTTGGATCTGTTGAAACTCGGTAAACATCCCTCTGTTTTCTCCTTAGATATAAAACTGGATAATATAATTTTCACTTTACAACCACATACTAATACACACAATGAGCATGGGTGTACATCCATGCTCATGGTGTGACATTGCATCAAAAATCTTTTAAGAAATTTTATATTAATTGGGAGAGTTTTTCAAGCATTCGGTGTGGTTAATGCAAAAATTAGAAAGGTAAACGCATTGAGAAACTCAGCCCATGCTCCTGATAATGTTTCTGATCAATCTTTTGTCTTTAATATGTTTACACTAATGTAGCTCTGTCTGTTGCTTGTAGTTGTAAATCATCTTCTACAATCTCTATCTAAGTTTTGGACACGTTCAATTAAATGGCTTCACTTCACTCTATTTAATAGCTTTACTTCACATTTAGCAACAGCCGTTTCATGGTTGAACAATGGTTGGAAATGATTACTGGAAGTTATTAACGAATGCTGTATCTTATATCTATAGGTATCTTGGAAAGATTGATTAAGAATTCTTTCTTCCAGCTTTGTTCTTTATTGATACACTAAGAAAGTTCAATGATGTTGTTAAAGGTTGCAATGCTATCCCCTTAATAATAACTTTTTAGATCTATGGTTTCATCAAGCTATATTTTTTATTTTTTTTATTTTTTGTGTTCTATTATTTATTTTTATTAATTCCTTCAACAAAATTAAGAACAATTGACGCAACGCAAGGTTGTTAATTGTTAAAAAACAGTGTTTAAGCGGTAGTTGTATAATTAATATTTAATAAGCTTTTGTTGTTATAATAAAACTTAAAAAGAATTATAGAGAAATTTAAAATAAACTCGACTTAGTTCACAAAAAATGATTTGGTGCATATAGAAATAGTACCTAGTAGGGTGCAGATAGAGAAAGTCCCCAGTAGGCATTGGACATCTTAAGGCGTCCGACAGACGTTGATTGGACGTCTTAGGACGTTTTATATCCACTAGGTAATTGTAGGGGAAAATAATTTAAAAAAAAAACATTTTTTTTGTTTAAAAAAAAACAGTACTATTGTAATTTATTTTTTTTTAAATGCAGTGACTCCTGTTTAAATGATCACATCTTTATCTTGTTTATGAGACAATGATATATCAATTTAAAAAGTTATTTTAATTTTTTTTTTAATATATTATTTATTAATTTTATTATTGATATTATTAAACTGATAAGCAAGACTGAATTATTACTACAATTTTTACATTATTTAATAAAATTGTTTTTACAATAATTTTTTTAAAATATTACTCTACAATTTAACTAAATAATTAAATGATATTTATCGTTGCTTCGTGACACGATCATTTGGTTTTTTTGAAATAATTTTAAAATCACAAAAAAAAAAAAACATTAACGGTAACATACAATCATTCGCCATCACTGCTGTATAAAAAAAAAGAAACTTTGGTTTACAATTTATAACTAAAGTTTTCGTTTTTTGCTTAAAAATCATGAATTTCTAGATTGAATGATTAAATAAATTAATTAATATTTAAGTTAGTTTTAAAAACCATGTTTTAGGTGTTTAATTATTTAACTTTAAATAAAAATTTATTGTAAAATAATAAAATAATAAATTTTGTTTTTGTAAAAACTTTTTTTTACAGGTTTCGAAGAAATTTAGCTGATGTCAGTTTCAAGATTAAAGAACGTAATAAAGGCATGAAAAACCCTTACCCGTACCTAGATCCTGCTGAAGTTCCAAATGCTATTAGTATTTGACGGATATTATTAAAGATACGAAGACTAAAAGAATCAAGTTGTTAAAGGCCATTGGAAAGAATTTTCGAAATTATAATTTGGGGAAGAAAATAAATGACTTTATTAAACAACAGATTTCATAAGTCATGATCTCTTAATGTAATCAAAAAATATTATGATCGGTTGAGATAATAAAGTTTTGATTTGTTCAGTAAAAGATTATGATTGGCTATTGTCATTTAGTATCTTGTTTGGTGGGCGTCTTGAAATAATATAGACGATAATTTATATAATATAGACAATAATTTATCAATAATATAAAAGATGTTCTATAAGTAATATAAAAAATAATGTGTAAATAATATAAATTAATGTTATAAATAATATAAATTAATATATACATATTTATATATGTATATATATATATATATATATATATACATATAAATATATATATATATATATATATATATATATATATATATATATATATATATATATATATATATATATATATATATATATATATATATATATATATATATATAAAGATTATTGTATGAAAGGTATTGCAATATTATTCATAAAATCAAATACAATCGAAACCAACTTAACCAAGTGTATCAACAAATCCTTTATAACTTCTTACATTATTATTTCTTATTTCTGAATATAAAACCACCTTGATCGATGATTGTTTTAAAAATGCAATATAAGAAATAAATAAATAGGTAATGGTCAATATAGTTGCATCAGTCAACAACACACTGTACGCTTTAATTATTAATTTATGAATGCTCTCGCAATTCCTTATTTATATTAATAATCTTGCTGAAACACATCTATTTACTCCAGTTTTAACGAAATGTTATCTTTTTTTGATTGTCTTGATCGGGTATCTTGAATTTTCTGACTCCTAATTTCATTTTCTAATTTCTGTGTTAACTTGCGGTTTAAAGCAAAATCAGTTGTTCACTACGAATAGTAAAATATTGATGAATGGCAACACTTATGATTAGTTGTCTAACTAACGTTTTCTCAAATTATTATTATCTACTGTTCTTATGGAAACCATATATACAATCCATTGCAAAATTAACATTAGCTTAAGTTGCCTCTCTTTATCTTGCTCACCATTTTCTTACCCCTGATTCCGTTCTATGTAAGTTTCATATTTGAGCTGGTTTTTGTAATGAGGCTCTCTCTCATTTAGACAGTTCAAAACGCATTTTTATCGAGATTGGCTTTAGGAGCCTAGCTTAAACCAATATTGTAAAGTTGCATCTCTTTTTTTTCTTTAAATGTTACTACGGTTACTCATCGAGCAATTTTTTTTTTTTAAACAAAAATGAAAGAGAAATTGTGAACTATTTACCTCGGCATCATTTTTTATTAAATCGTACGGCCAATTTATGGAACGCTTTACCGGAAACTGTTGTTACTTCAAAAACTGTCAATCAATTTAAGAATAGATTAGATGAGTATAACGCCAAATCAAAGAAGTTTTAACTGAACATTTTTAATATATATTTGGATTAATGCTGTCAAAGTGTGATAAACCACACTCGCTGGATTCGTCCAGTTACAGTTTAACTACTACAGTAGCGTCCAAAGGTTTGCGGACAGGCAAAAAAATAAAGAATTTTAATTATATTTCAGCACATACTTTACTAAAGCCAACATATTATATACCAAGTAAAAGGTTTTCAAATTTACAATTAGGTTTTGAACAAATAGTTATTATCTAAATAACATTTTTAAATTGGTATACAAATCAACGGTCTTTGATAAGTTCAAAAATTTGCGGACAAAGCATTTTTTAAAATAGTTAAAATATTTCAACAATATTTGATCAAAATTTTTGCATAAGCAAAATCACATTAGTATTTTGTATGATGTCCTTTACAATCAAGAATAGCTTGGCTTCTATGAGGCATAGAGTCAACTAAATTAATGCAAACGTCAATGGGAATTAAGTCCCATAATTCTTTGATTTTATTAAATAAATCAGCATAATTTGTAGGCTTAATTCCTTTCATTTGACGGTCAACATGTTCCCATAGATGTTCAATGGGATTTAAGTCAGGTGATTGGGATGGCCACTTCAAAACATTAACTTTACTCTCTTTAAAAAACTCTAAAACCGATTTAGCTGTATGTTTGGGATCGTTATCCTGTTGGTAAATCCATCCTCGAGGCATTTTATCCTTTGCATATGGTAACATAATAGTCTTACAAATATCTTTGTACTTTTCTTGATTCATATTCTCGGTAATTCTATAGAGAGAACCAACTCCATTTTGGCTAAAACATCCCCAAACCATTACATTACCTCCTCCATGTTTTACGGTAGGCAGTTGGTATTTAGGATTGTACCTAGTACCTACTGGACGTCGAACATACCTGATTCCATCGGATCCAAACAGCATAAATTTGCTTTCGTCACTAAAAAGTATTTTTGACCATTTTTGACTACTCCACTTTAGATGTTTTGATGCAAATTCCATTACGGTTTTTCAATGCAAATTCCATTACGGCGTTACGGTTTTTCAAGGAAACTAATGGTTTTTTAGCTGGGCGTCTTCCAAACAAATTAGCGTGACGTAAACGACGTTTTATAGTAGAAATACTACAATTCATTCCATAGAAACGTCTTATTTGTACGTTTAAATCGACAACTGTCAAACGGGGATTTTATTTGCTTAGTATTACAAGCTTTTTATCGTGATAACGCGTTGTTTTGCGTGGCCTTCCTGATTGATTTTTATTCTTTGTAGATCTAGTAAGCTCAAATCTCTTCATAATTTGTCCAACAGCAGACTTACCAACTCCATAAAGCTGTGCTGTTTTACGAAACGAGTTTCCATTCTGAACTGATCTCAAGATCAATTTTTTTACTGGAGATGAAATACATTTCTTAGATCCCATGATCTCAATCACTTATATATAAAGTTTTGAAATTATTTCCACAAAGTATTTGTTTATAAAATCAACAAATTAGCTATTTTGTGGTGAAAATGTTAAAAGCGTTAGTTTGTCCGCAAACTTTTGAACTTATCAAAAATCACCATTTTGTTAACCAATTTTAAAATGATAATTAAATATTCATTATTTGCTCAAAACATAATTGTTAACTTGGAAACCTTTTAATTGATATATAATATGTTGGCTTTAGTGAAATATGTGCAGAAATTTAAGTAAAACTCCTTATTTTTTTGCCTGTCCGCAAACTTTTGGACGCTACTGTAACAAACTAACTAACTAAAACCCAATCTTGCGTGACTTGTCATTCTGTAATCTTTGCATCTTTGTACTCTAATTTTATCAAAGCATTCATTCTGTAATTTTTACTTATTTTGCAAGAACAAAAACTCGCTAGAATACTATGCAAAGTTGTCTAACTTAAAGTTTATTAAAGATTACCCCCTGCATGATCAACTGCGGACAATGTTCAAACTGTTATAATTACTTGAAAATAGCAGCCAAGCATAAATTTAATGATAAATCATATTACTTTAAAAACTAACTTTACAAACCCTTCTGAGGAACAAATTTTTGAAATGAGAATTAGTAAACAGTTTTGAACTTAAATAGAAACTAGGGGTCATCCAAAAAAGGACGTCATTTTAAATTTAACTAATGGCAAGAAGTAGGAGAATGTTGACTTTCGTGGACAGAGACTATACGAGTAATATAGCGTCTTATGTTCAATGAAAATCTCCGCGGAAGGGAGTCAATAAACTTCTACCTCTGGATAGTAATTAAATTCTGAATGACGTCCTTTATGGACGACCCTCTAATGTTAAAAACCTGTTTTCGCTAGGATTTTGGAAAATCTTTTCGATTGCCCTCAGAGACAAGGCCGACGCGAATAGGGTATGGGGTGTGGTTTTTTTTTTGTTTTTTTTTGAGTCAGCAAAAGTTGTAATGGCACCCCATCCCCCACGTGACACCTACTCGTGCCGATTTAGCTCAGAGGTTTTCCTTTTATAACTATAAAAAAGAACTTTTTTAAAAAGGATTAATCAAAAGATCAATATAAAAAAAAAAGTTTTATAATTTGAGAAAGATTTGTGTTTAAAGTAACTCTGAAGTCGTGTTTGAAAACAATTATTTTTTGTTTGTTTCTTTTTTGGGGTCATTTTTAAAGTTTTTGGCGCTAATGAGCAATTTTCTTATTGTTTTTACTTATTATTTTTTTATTTAACTTTGTTATTATTTTTACTTTTTTTTTTTTTTTATTTAACTTTGTTATTGTTTTTACTACGATTTTTAATATAGTTAAAATATTTTACTGAAAACTTGGAAAAAAATTGCGTAAAGTCATCTTCGTTATTTTTGAGTCCTTGTCAATAAAATAAATTATTAACTTGCAATGAAACTAATCTTATTAAACAATGGTAGTTTTTTCTGTTTTTGATTCACAATTCAAAATTGGCATTAAACCAAATCGTAAATGACAATATTTTTTTTTTTTAAATTTTTTATCCTAAAATTTAGAAATAAATGTACTTTACAAATTAATAAATTGTCAACTAAATCATTTTGTCAAACAACGTTAAGCAGTTTTGTATAAACTATCGAACATTCTATTGTATATTCCTATAGTATATTCCTTATATAAACTTATATAAACTGTTGTCAAACAACGTTAAGCAGTTTTGTATAAACTACCGAACACTTTAAAATAAGGAATAAAATTTTTCTAACTTTGATTTGTTAATCTCGTTTTCCGTTTTTAAAATCTTCTTTTAACTGATTTTATGTTTATATAATTTTGAGATGTAAAAAACTCTCAGTTTTTGTTTATTTTTATTGTACCCTATTAAATAGTTTTAATAGGGTAATAATCCATTGTTTATATATATGTTCAAGTTTTTTACTTAAGTTTTTTATACAACATATAAATTTTTTTTCAGTTTTTTAATCGAAACCAAACAAACTGGAGATCTAGTAGCGTAATTTAATGCATTGCATTATTTCTCCTCTTTCCTGTATCTGCGCCTAGGTGCGTACCTAGGTAAAACCAATCATTCCTCTTCTCTTTTGAAAATAAATTTAAATGTGGTTTCAAACCACCCCAACACAAAAAATAAAAAACTTTTATATTTTTGGACCCCTCTTAGGGTTTTAGGGTTCAAATTTGGGGTACAAAGTTGAATGGTTTTTCAAACTTTAAATTACTACTTTCTGAGATATATTTAAAAATACCATAAAACTTATTACGATATTTATTAG